CCAAAATTTGGATGATTTTGAATATTCACTTGAAAAGTTATCAAAGAAAAACATTTTTCATTTTGTAACTTCGAGGGCCCGTTACTTGGTAACGAAGGATTTTAGGAAAAAAAGTTATATGAAGTACTGGTGATATTTTGACCCCATCTATACATTCCCGAGAGGAAAAGAGGAAGTCCAGGGACACCCTGTATATAGCTGTGAAGTTTTATCTTTATCAGAAAATACTTTATATTCGACTAGGTTATGTGATTTATGTATGAAATGTATATTTTCAGATTTATTTTTAGCATCAATGTCTGTCGAGTTTGAATATCAGCAAACATATAAGTAAAATAAACTTGATATCCACTTGGGATGAGCATGAATCTGTTACTAATGAAACTGTCGAATATCAAAAATAGATTTCAGATCTCAAGGCAAAAGGATCGCTTGAAAGATATCAATTGTTTATTCAACTTCGCATGCATTATCAACCGTCGAAAACCTGGCAATTTGCCGCATGACTCGTACAAGTAAAAATAATTTTGAAGTAAAATCTGGACGATTGATATATTTTGAAAACACGACTCATTATTTATTCGCATAAACAAATCCGTATTGAGTTAGATATTTTATTTTTCGTTATTGGAAACATCCTTCAACTAGTCTTAATATTCACGAAAAAGTTGACCAGATACAAATAGAAAGTTTGTTACACATTTGCATGACCTAAACACTCCATGCAATTTTCATATAAATTATAATGTTATTCAGTAGGAAATTCGCAATACTGTTTGAGAGAAGAGATTGAAAAGCACTGGTCACAGTGATAGAGAATGTGTTTCAAGAGATGGGTTTTTTTTAAATCCCCTCCTCTTCAAGGATCTTTTCATTGATTTTTTCAATCATTTATAGTTTATTAAATATTCGCAAAAACATAAATACTTTTTTTCATTTCTCAATTTGCTTATAACTTCTGCAATTTTTCATGTGTTCAAAAATGGTTTCAGTATTTTATAGATAGCAGTTTTATAGCTATTATTCCGGATTGAATGAGCCATCGCATGTACTTTTCACAACACAACAAAAAAATATTTTTTGAATGTTTCCTACACTAAATTAGTCAATTTCTACTAATTTTGGGGTGATAAAAACGAAAATAACAATGAAAAATTTTTATTAGCTCTGGTTTTTGAGATACACAGTACTTAATCTTAAAGAGTAGTTATACTATACGTGAAAAGTGAAAGTACATAAAACAATATTGTTATGTTTCTTTTAGAAT